GAAGGCCAATGGCATCCTGGCCTGTATCAGAAACAGTGTGGCCAGCAGGAGCAGGGAAGTGATGGTGCCCCTGTACTCGGCACTGGTGAGGCCGCACCTCGAATGCTGTGTTCAGTTTTGGGCCCCTCACTACAAGAAGGACGTTGAGATGTTGGAGCGTGTCCAGAGAAGGGCAACGAGGCTGGTGAGGGGTCTGGAGAACAAGTCTTCTGAGGAGCGGCTGAGGGAACTGGGGTTGTTTAGCCTGGAGAAGAGGAGGCGGAGGGGAGACCTCATCGCTCCATACAACTACCTGAAAGGAGGTTGTAGCGAGGTGGGGGTCGGTCTCTTCTCCCAAGTAACTGGTGAAAGGACGAGAGGAAATGGCCTCAAGTTGCGCCAGGGGTGGTTTAGATTGGACATGAGGAAAAATTTCTTTCCTGAAAGAGTGGTTAAAGATTGGACCAGGCTGCCCAGGGAAGTGGTTGAGTCACCATCCCTGGAGGTATTTAAAAGATGGGTAGATGAGGCGCTTAGGGACATGGTTTAGTGGGCCTGGTGGTGTTGGGTTGATGGTTGGACTCGATGATCTTAGAGGTCTCTTCCAACCTTAATGGTTCTATGATTCTATGATTCTAAGAGTAAGAATAGAAAGCTACATTTGTGTGTAGGAGGTTTTAAGTAGCAGCAGGGCAGATGGCAAAAATGGGTGCTAAGATGGAGGACTTTGAGGAAAAAATGACAACATAGGATCAGGAAAAGGTAAGTGAAGGGAGAGAGAGCATATAATGTAGGGACAGAAGAGCTGGTGAATTGTAGTATATGCTTTCCGCCAGAATTATGACTTTAATGTGGTGTATGTTAGGTCTCTTGTGCCAGCGGAAAATTTTGTTGAGATCTAATGCAGTCCCTGATTCCTCCATTGGTTTGTGTAAATGATAGCTGTTGTCTTTTTATGAATGGTGGCAGAAGTTTATGCTGGTCCCATTGATGGATCTTGTGAAAGTTTGTGTTTCTTAAAAATTTGGAATTGGTTTATTTTGTCGT